CCTTCCTTCCTTCCTTCCTTCCTTCCTCCCTCCCTCCCTCCCTCCCCCCCTCTTTCTTTCCTTCTTTCTTTCTTTCTTTCTACTATTTGGGGAAAGGGACCCTACCCTTTAAAAATATATTTTTGTGTTAGGTTGATGGATTTATCTATTTTATTTAATGATTACTGAAATAATTGGGGGGGAGAACCCAAATAACATTAAAAAGTGGCATACCTGCTGTATGCAATGTGGGCTGCTTATTTTCTTAAAAGGAATAATTATTAAATAAATTTATTTCTTTGGCAGGAAATAGCATCTTTAAGAGCAAGAGGTGGGGGGAGGAGGAACATTAACATAATCTTTAATTAACTATCTGACATCAATCTCTAAAGCCCTTTTTAGGTTTTAGCTGCTGTTTTGGACAAAATATGTGATAACTGAGAAACCAGTTCTTTAGGGCCTGCCCTCTATGCACTGGCTATACACAGTCACTGCATTGCCAATTGTCAGACAGGAAAGATCAGGTTCACATGTAAACCTATGTACCAGAATCTTCTCAACTAAAGGCAGGTACCTGCTTAAGAGTTAAAGGTCAAGGGAATTCAAGGGAGGTTGGACTTAGTCTGCTTGTGGCTACATAGGATTCTAGACTGATTGCTCTTTTAACTCCACCTCCCAGATTCTGCCATTCCTTCTGCTACACCAATCCTGGAACCGAGTATTAAATATTATTGAATATTAAAGACAACCAGATTTTATTACAACATACCTTTTCCTTTTGAAAGGCGACTTTGGCATATCTGCCACAGGAATCATCTGTTCTCCTGGACGTACCCACATGATGGGACCATCATCGCTATCTTTCCGACTTTCTAGTTTAAGACTAGAAAGAGTCCCCCATGGTAAAGTACACTAAAATGAAACACTTATGTTTAAAATCTATGTTAGTTTCTGATACTATTTTAAACTATTTATTTATTTTACAAAATGAAAAAGCACTGGGTATCAATCTACAAACATGATTGGCAATTTGATTAATGCAAACCATTGGAACATTCAATTTGAACTGAGATTGAAACCAAGACCAAAACTTGTACATTCCCAATATTTTGAAATCAAAGTGATGAGCATTGCAAACATGCCTATTTCTGCAAGAGACAACCTACTATCTACATGTTATGAGCTTCGGAATGTTAAATATTTCAGTTTTGCTTGATGATGTGCAATGGATGCAGTTTTAAGAAATTAAAGTATAAACTCTTAAAATATGAATGTAACATACAAGTTGACATATACATATATAAATATACACATCTTACTTTTAACAAAGGTGAGTCTTCCAACATATCAAGGAACTCTGGAAAATAATCTCCAACTTCCTCATCTACTGCTCCAACCAAGCTGATTTGTCTCATCGGGCCTGCTCTGTATGTACCATGGGAATATGTTCTTTTTACCTGAACAAAAGCCAATTAAAGTAAAAAAAGAAAGCACAAGTTTATTTTATACCTAGAATAATGTGCAGAATTATATAAATATGTAAAAATATCCTAAATATTTTCTGAAACCCAAGCAATACTTGGTATTAAATGTTGTTCAGAAAACAATAAACATAATTTTAGATACAGATTGCTGTCAAATGCAATGTTAAATTACCATATCAATATATGTGTAATGAAAGAATATAATCTTAAATATATTATTATAAAAATTAAACTTAAACAAAAATGGCAAATTTTCCATTTTCAGGTCAGTTAAAAGAAGCAGTCAGAATATGTTCTTAATTTTAAAAAATGAAAACATTCATACACAATATTTTATTTTTATTTTAAAAATACCAGTATTGAGAATAATTGTTTACTTTTTATTACTTTTACCTTATTACTTTATGACTTCTCTGTGTCAAGGTATAACTTCGAGAATGCATTTCCATTTATAAGAGGAAAAAATGGTCTCTCATCTAATTTGCTATCTCATTTTTTTGCCAACACTGCTTTGAATGATGGAATCAATCAAGTTGTCATCACACTGTACTTTCAAGGTTATTCAACTGAATAGTCAGCATCCAGTAATGGCTTTTTAAATTACCAGATGATCTAATGCACACACAGAGTTTCCTATATTCAACCCACTAAAATAACAGATTGTACAGTTGTCACTTATGCAGCAGGGCTAATCTTTACATCTCTCTAATCAAAGATTCAAGTTTCTGGGCGTTAGACAATGCTTTTTTTCATTTGTGTGCTTTTTTTAAAAAAAATGTATGTTGTTCCCACAGACAAAATGCAAGAAACCATTCACTAGCATCCTGGCAGCCAAATACCAGTCCTAATCCATTAAGCATACTACTTTCACAGAAGCCCCTATAGATAACTTTAATTTACTAACCCACCAATCAAAGTTGGATGCCCTGTATTTTTACACACAAACTCATACATGCATGAGGAAAATTTCTGAAGATATTTTGAGAGATTAAACTCTTTATTTTGCATAATTCATATACAGACCCAATTCCACAAACTCTGGGCATCTTACTGAAACAAAGCCAAAACCACAAGAACACTCAATTAGCACAATGGACATCATTAAAACAGTCTAATGGACCAGGTCTTAAAGGCTAAGAACCATTTGGTTTAACTTGCTGAGCATTTTAAAGTGCACTGCAGGGTACTTGCTCTGTAACTGATTGTGGAAAATAATATATCCAAATTAAAATTAAAGACATTGGTATTGATTATGTAAGTAATGCAGTAATCACTCTGATTTTAAAAAAAAACAAAAAACCAGTCAGCCTTTTTATAACAATTTTGGTTTTAGATTTTGATCCAATAAATGTAGTTAAAATCAAGCTTATTCTATTAATTCTTAAATTACACTTTTTGCTGCATCCACAATGACATCAAAAACACTCTCAAAAAGCATGCTAAAAAAGATGATTATAAAAACTTTTCCAGGAATTTATCATATGGTATGGATGAAAAGTTATCACACAAAACATTCCGGCCTATTTGTAGATGTTAGAGAATGCAACATATTTCAGGGAAATTGCCTGCCTTGTTTCATCTGTTCTAGCTATACAGTATTATAAGAAAAATGATGAACTTTTATCTATACAATTTAAATAGTGGAATAACTATCTTTTCCTCACTCAGAACTGTTTTCATTTCTGCTGGGCATTGCAATTAATACAGGTAGTCCTCGACTTACAACAGTTCAAAGTTAGCATTAAAAAAAGGTGATGTATGACCACTTTTCACACTTACATTGCAGCATCTCCATGGTCACATGATTAAAATTTGGATGCTTGGCAAGTGACTCATATTTATGACAGTCGCAGTGTTCCAGAGTCACACGGTGACATCTTGCGATTTTTTGACAAGCAGTCAACAAGGAAGGGAGATTCACTTAACAACTAATTTAACAACTGCAGTGATTCACTTAACAACTGTGGCAAGAGAAGTTATCAAACAGGGCAAAGTTCACTTCACAAATGTTTCGCTTAGCTACAGAAATTTACAGCCCAATTGTGGTCATAAGTCGAGGACCACTTACGCCATCTAATCTGTTTTCCTTCATTTCCATCCTTTTCTTCCCTCCCTCTTTTTGTTGCCTTTACTGTAAAGTCTGAAGTTAAAGACAGAATTGCCACTTCACGGATTGTTGTCACCTGCTAAAACTAGGGATCGTTTTGAAATGATTTTTCACAGCTAAGCAATTCTGTTTTCACTTCCTTTTTCTTTTCCCCCTTCTCAACTGAAAGTTCTACTGGGGCAATATTCTCATTGCTTTGTTGCTGGCTCGTCAGGAAGTGGTTAATCGGCTTTTAATTGCCTCATATATTCTTTGTCACTTAATAGACAATAAATAGAAGAGAAAAATCTAAAACCGCATAGATAAGTCTCTCTCTACACACACGCGCGCACACACGGAAGGGGAGACAGAGAAACTAAATAAGAATTCTGCTTCCACCACCCCTTTGAATGAGAGTAATGAAAACAAACATTATTTCATAAAGACAATATCATACAAATGTTTACATTGTGAGAAATGACTTAGTTAACCTCTTGATACATTGTAATGTACTTTGTTTGGTTTACGCTAAATGAAATAAGAGTCTAGTTTTTCTAGTTTCCAAGCCGTGATCTATGCCCTAGTATTATGTATGAACTAGGCCAAGTGGCTTACTCAGCATGCCAAATTATATCTGACTTCTAAAGCAGAGAAATTTGTCCACTACGTTTCTTCTAAGACTCAAAAGAGACATGTTGCATACGTAGAAACACACCTAATTTACAAAGCCTAAATGTAACACAGGTAGTCCTCAACTTGCAACAGTCTGTTTAGTGACCATTCCAAANTGTTACTTATTTAACAACTATAGTGATTCACTTAATGAATGTGGCAAAAAAGGTCACAAAATCAAACAAAACTCACTTAACAACTGTCTCGCTTAGTAACAGAAATTTTGGGCTCAATGGTGATCGTAACTCGAGGACTACCTGTACAGAACTATGTCTTTAGTGTCATATAAATCATAGCAGCACATAAACTGCATTTGGGATAAAAAAAAACATTTAAAGCAGAACACGAAACCCCACTTAGCAAAGAAGCAGTGGTGGAACACTATGTTCAGGGTGACATTTATTATGGGGAATAAAACTAAAAATTAGCAGTTAATACGACTGCAAAAGTACACCTAGATTTGCATGTCTGTGGAACTGTCTAATCTTGGAACTGTGAACATACAGATGGCGGAAGGTTTGTCCCAATGGAGGAAAGTTAGGCTTTAAGGGAAAGGTTACATAAAATAACCCAGAATGAATGCCTCGCGCTGTGTCGGATTTGCAATGCAGATGAGACTGGCTTATTCTGGCGCACAGTTCCTAAAAAACTCAAGCATTTGAGGATGAAGGATGAATAGAGGAGGGGGGGAAATTCAGCCAGGGGAAGATCTTGGCATCAGGCTGCACGATCACAGATGGAGTGCCCAGCTGATTGCAGTATGCAAATTGCATCAACCAGTAGTGCTGAAAGGCATCACGAACCACTTGCCAATCCTATATTGCAGTTCACTGATGTACAATTTGTATAATTTACATTATCGTTTCTTTCAAAAATAGCTCTTCTTCTTTGTGCCCAAAATAGGAAGTATTAGATGTTGAGAATATCACTTTAGCAAATGAAAGTTCTTTCATCCATCAGACAAAAACATTGAGAATGAAGATGAAAAATTTAATATTGAAGTCTATCAACCAGCCAATGAACTATTCTTGCAACCAAGAAGAGGCGATAGCTATGTTGGAAAATGAAACAGGAAAAACAGTTGAAGGACGGCTATGCTAATGAATTTCATAAACCACCTTTGAACGTTAGCAGTTTACAAATTGTTTTTTTTTTTAAAGCAAATAAATTTTCTAATCTTCATTAAGGGGGGAAATGCCTTACAATGTTGATAAGTGCAGTTTGAAGGGTTGGACTACAGCAAAGCCATCCCAAAAGCTGTTGAGTTCTATTTCATAGTGACTTAAGAGGTATATCGTAGGTGATATAAGACAGTGAAATGAGGAAACTACACGGATCAAGAAATCAAGATGACAATAAAAAAAAACTTGTGAAATCCCAAAGTAAAATTACTGGCTTTGAGAGATCCACCTCAATAACGTGATTTCTGTCATTGGTTTCTCATCACATCATGATGTCCAGTGTACTATCCACATATACATGCTCGTCAAGAGATAAATATATAGGAACGGCCTGTTTCCAAGATTATTAAAACTGGACATTTTCTTCAAGCCAATCAGAAAAAGAAAAGCATCTTTTCTCTTCTCACCCTCTCTCCCTCCCTCTCTCCTTCCTTCCCTCCCTCCCTCCCTCTCCCACTCCCTCTCTCTGCGTGTCTCTATTTGCTTGTTGGCTTTTCTTTCCTATTGCGTTCTGTAACTAGAAGTTGATTCTGATATACAATTACTGGAAAATTAAATGTCATACAGCAATATTGCTTTTATAACTGTACAAAATGTAAAAAGGGACTATTGAAAATTGTCCCATGTATTGAGTATACCGTGGAAGTAAAGCTCATTTAGCATATCTTTCAATTTAAATTTAACAGATATAAAGAAAGGCATTGTAGTAATTGATGCCAAAGTTCAGCATCTTGTACTAATCGTTGCTTAGTGAGGAGAGAACCAAATAGTTCGGCTACAGACTCACGGAAATGAATTCAAGAAATGTTTTTCACTGAGCTATGAGAAGAGAATAAAGCAGTAGGATTCACAAGTCAGATAAGCTGCTGACTCAGTACAGGGCAGCATCTGGCTAGCACTGTCTGAGGTTGGAAGTTATGCTGAGACCATCTTGGTTAAGGTGCAGGGATGAGTAACCATCAGAAACAGATAGAAGCAAAGTATTATTTCCAAGAAAACTACATGGAGACTGGAAATATCCGTAGAGTAAGTCACAAGGACTTGGAGGCTTTACTACTAACTATATAATCCAATTTCAAAAGATTTATTTATTATTATCCCATTCTTCCATTCTTCAAGTGCCAGGGTAATTACCAGTTCTCCAATCAAGATATAATTTTCATTTTCTAGGTAACTGTGTGGATTACCCCTACTGATAAATATGGCAACAAAAATAAGTCTTCCTTCGGAATCATTTTAAATGTCTTCCTTTAATGCTGCTGAATGCTGTTTAATATGAAAATTCTTACTAAATTTTATTTCTGATAAAATGCCTAGAAAAAAATGGGAAAAAGACATTTAATCCGACCTCCCAGACTAGTATGTTTGAAGATATCCAGTGAAAAAGATCTCAGAATCTCTTGGTTTAATTGGTTCCACTATCAATCTGCTCTTATCAATAGGATATGTTTCCTAATCCAAAATTGCCCTGATCTATAATTAAAAATCATTGTGTGGGGTCTTTGGTGNTGGTGGTGGTGGTGGTGGTGGTGGTGGTGGTCGTGATCCACAATGCCTTTGGCTTCTTGATCCTCAAAATCGGAAAGCAATCCTGAGCAGATGGTCTGAATAGATTTACTGTACATTTTTGGACGCTTCCGTTTTTCGCACTCTTTGTGTTTCTTTTTCTTTTTCTTCTTTACTTTTTTAATCTGTAGGTCGTCTGCGTTGCTTTTCACTTTTTCTTTTATGTCTATAAAGAAAGAAAAGTTTGCTTTAATTTATCAAAAGCTGGAGCTACGTGAAGATGGAAAATATCCTGTGCAATAATATGCCAAGCACTGTAAACCGATTTAAGTTCCAAAGTATAATAAAAACATACTACACATGAATCCTGAAGAACAGCAATATCACTTTTACCTTCAATCATTAATATAGATAAGCTATCAGGTCAGGGTTGCAAAAAGATCTGGGATTCCTAGTCAAAGATAAATATTACCCGCAAGGTTCCTGGAGTCGGGCGTTTTAAATTGTTGGTTCCCTTCTCCAGAATAGGATCCCCCTGAAGGCAGGCAGGATCCAACCCTATTGACTTGCCATTAAGACTAGGCTGCTATTTCAGTGAGTCCTTGGACTGAGTGATTGCTCTTGTTTTCCTGATGGTGGGAGTGGGTGAGGGCAGGGGTGTGTGTGTGGAGGCAGTTGCGTATACGGGATACAGCTTTTCGTCAGCAGTAGGAAATGTTACCAATATATTGTTCTTTTCTAGTTTATTTCATTACTGTTTCAGAAGTCTGTAAGATGCTTGAAGTCAAGAGAAGCATAATGAATGATTAAATAAACATTGCAATGAACGCTTGACAGCAGGAAAAAGTTAATGTTTTCCATTTCTTTTTGCTACAAGTAGTTGTCTGGAGTTTAGCAGGCTAGACCTGAAAATAGTAATATCAGCATGCAACAACTATTGGAGAGATGCTGCAAAGGTCATAGCTGCTTCTCACTTTCTTTGTTGGACCTCAATTGCTTATATTTTGCTAGCTGAAATTACTGAAAAAAATTACACCATCCACTTCCTGAAGCAGTGAGACTGCCGTCAGAGAAGTTCCTTCTGAAAACTCTTGGCACCAGATTCCTTGTTGTGTTTGTCTTTATGCAGATACAATGGCAGGATTGGTACAGGTAGTCCTCAACTTACAACCTCAATTGAGCCCAAAANAGGAGAGTAACTGGGGAGTCTGATTTATATATATTGCACTAAATAATTTTTTGGTTTAATAGCAACTTACTGAATAGCAGGACTCATATAAAATATTATCTCTCTCAAAATCCTGTTTACCCGCACTCAATATTCCACAATCACATTATCAAAATTCAATAGTCAAATGACCATATGTGTTATTTATTATAGTGCAATTTTGGGTGGGTTTTTTTTATTTTTATTTTTTGATTCCCTCATTAAAAACAAAGAAGGAACTAAAAGTGAAAGACCTCTGGGAGATAAAGTACATTTCATCACCAGAGACCATATCACCATATTATGGCTTAAATTCAGTAACATGATTTCAAGATATCTTGGGAACTTTTAAACATGGATATAGTAGTTCTTTTTCTCTCCGAGGCCTCGCAATTTTTATTTCAACCCCAAATCTAGAAAGGGGGGGAGGGAGGATTAAGTCTTGTCACATCACCTGATACAATGAGTACTACATCTTTATTTCACATACTTTTGCTGTACACAAATATGTAGCTTTGGATCATTTTTCTCAAATCCAGGAATAAATATGTTTTATTTGTTTAAATTGGGTTCTCTCAATTTAAATTTAGGACTTGGGGCATAGTATTATATAATACTATAGTGGCATTCAAAAATTTAGGGCAGTTTTTTTTAATATCACTGTATACTTTTTAGCTTCAGCTGTGTACAAGTTAAATTAATTATTCATTAAAAGGTACCATCTCAAAATTTAATAATCTCAAGGTTTTATAATGGGTCCATGATATGGTTGGAAAGTGAATCCTGGTGCATCAAGAATGGGGCAGATCTGCTCTTAAGCCTAGCAGGCATTTTGTTCAGCTCTCTAAATATAGAAAGAGAATGATTACATATGCTGTGAGTGAACCTGTTCTATTTTTAGAGCAAGAATGAAATGAACAAGTTTAAGAAGCACCAAATTATATTCTAATACAAACAATGAAACTGGCTGAAATTCTACTTCTCCACACAGGAGCAAAATCATGTAATTCGGTGTAATGGAATGTCTGGATGATTTTGGGGAAGGAGGAGAAGAGATTCTTCTTAGGAAACCATCAGACAAGAGAGCCCCCATACCTGCTTCTTGTTACTTGTTACTCGTTTGAGTTACTTATAAAAATAATAAAAGGCAGGATAAAAAAATAAATCTCAATAAATAAAAGGACAGTCAAGAAAAGAAACTTGTCAAGTACCCGCCCCAATGGATCAAGCAGTTAAAATTGCTGGCAGGAAGTTTGTATTTTCAGACTTGCAAGATTCTGTCAACATGTTTCCTGTCTGGTTTACCTGGGCAGGCAGATATCAATCTTGCAAGTCTAAAAGTCTGCAAGTCTAGCTGCCACTTTGAGCTGCTTGATCCATTAAGGGAAGTCCTTCCTACGTTTCTTCCTTTGATCGTAAGCAGCTGGGGGCTCCTGCCTCTCTTCTCTGATTATTTCCTAGCCAGCATCTCTCCCACATTTTCCATTACATCTATCCAAGTATGAATAGAGTTCCCCTTTGTCATTCAGAAATCCTCCATTCATTAATATAATAAGGAATATATTTTTGTCAAGAGATAAAACAGTTTAATCACATTCCTCAAACATACAAAACTTTCATTTAAAAAATCAAACAGGAAATAGCCAGCGAATGAAAATGAATTATTGCAATTTATGAAAAGTGCAACTGGGCTCCCCCCCAACAGCCCCTTAATTCATCCTAGCATCAATATTCTTTTCATTATATAATTCCTCTCTGAACAGAAGGAAGAGGAGAGAAACTAACTTGCAAATACAGTACTTAAAACATGTATTTGATACAAAGCCAAAACTGATACAAACTGTTTTCACAGGAAAAAACAATAGCTAAAAGGCAATATATGTAAATTAATTTCAAAGACTTCAGTTTTGAGCTAGTTCTCCAAAAAAAAAACCACAATGTAGATATTGGCATAAAATTCTAAAAAGGTTTTCCGCCTTACATAATTCTCTTCACAACTTCTTTATTTTTCCCCCCAAACAACACCAAGTATTACTAAGATTCTGACAAAAAAAATAATCAATATACAGGGTAGCAATACTAACAAAAAGAGCAGTTATTTTGGTTGGGGTTCTAGTCCCTTTGAAGGATGAAGTTTGCGACTTTGTTATGTTCTGGACATTATACCTCAATATCAAGGTAGCTGCTGTGACTATGAATGTCGTTGTCAATCCCAGCCACTGCTATTGCATCCTTTCCTCTAAAATATATATCTGGGTGTTTAGTTATATATCTGAGGTCAGCTTTCTACAAGGAGACATTTTCACATCTACGGAATCCCAGAATTCTTCAATCAGCATGGCTGTTACTGAGAATATTCCAGGGTTTGACAAAGCTGGGTAATTCAACATCCAAATTAAATTACTGTAACAAATTCTACATGAAACTCTCATTAAGGAGTATCCAGAAGGAGAATAGAACAAGATGTGGTCACCCAATCATTTTTATAGCTTGCTAGAGGATGGTTCTCAGGTCCAATTCAAAGTGTTGCGTATAACTGATATGAACCTTAAATTGCCTGGGATAAGATTATTGGAAAGACCATCTATTCCCAAAGAATCTGCCCTGACAGCTGGGGCCATTGAAAAACTGTTCTCTACAAGAAAAGGCAGGCCAGATGGTGACAGTACACTGTTTTTTCAATGTCGCACTTCAATTTGACTTTGCCCTCCCTGCCTTGATACTTTTGAGATAAGCAGCCAAATTTTTTTATGTTACAGGCTTTAAACAGCTTAATTGGTTGTTAAACTTGCTTCTTTGATGCCTCTTTCAAATTGCATTTTAAGGTATTTCTTACGTTAAGATATTGTATAAACATGTAATTAACTCATTCTGAAGATGGCATGTTTTTATAATTATAACATCATTCCAATTCCAAGTTGGAAAATATTTTCAAACCCTTTAATGAATATTTTGATGTTGGATTTTGAACTTCATTATTCGTGTATGTACTATTTCACTATTTTTTAGATTACAAGTAAGATAGAAATGAAGATTATTATATTGAACTGAAATGAAGGGGAATCCAAATTTGAGATGATGTCCTTCTGCCAGGAAAAAAAGTAGATTCAAATAAAATTCAGTCGCCTCTAGATGAGATTGGCAGCATACTAGTTGAACAAACAAGTAAATAATAAATACCGTATTTTTCAGAATATAAGACGCACCGAAGTACAAGACACACCCAGGTTTTGAAGAGGCAATTTTTTTAAAAAAAGTAGGTAGATAGATAGAGGGAGAGAAGGGAGAGAAAGAGAGAGAAATACAGTAGGTAGGTAGGGAGTGTGAGAGAGTAGGTAGGTAGGTAGGTAGGTAGATAAAAGGATAGAGAGAGAGAAATACAGTAGGTAGAGAGAGACAAAGATAGATAGATAGATAGATAGATAGATAGATAGATAGATAGATAGATAGATAG